GGCCTGCCGCGAGCCCCACGCCCGAGCCGGGCCGAGCGAGCGAGCAAGCGCCACGCCGGGCAGCTGGGAGGGCACCATGGGCCGGAGCCCGCGTCCTCCGGGCACCCCAGGCCTCGCCAGCCGGCACCGGGGACCACCGGGAGCCCCTGGCTGCCGCCCCGAGACGGTGGCCGAGCGGGCGGGCGTATAATTCTACCGGAAGGGTTATTCTCTCGCTCCATTCTTATTTTGGGGGGAGCCAGCGAGACAGCTCCTTTTGGGGCGCGCTGGTAAGGTGGGAGGGGGTGGGGGTTGGCCGATTTGATTCTTTCGCGTGTTTGTAGAAGCGGCTGCCGCCGCCGCCGCGGCGGAGACGACAACAACTTGCTCGTTTTCAGGTTGGGTTAACGGCATGGAGAACAGTCACCCCCCCCACCACCACCACCAGCAGCCCCCGCCGCAGCCCGGCCCTTCGGGCGAGAGGAGGAACCACCACTGGAGAAGTTACAAGTTGATGATTGACCCGGCTCTGAAAAAGGGGCATCATAAACTATACCGCTACGATGGGCAGCATTTCAGCTTGGCGGTGAGTAGCCGGCGCGCCTCCCCGCCACCCCCACCCGCCCACCAGCCGTGCCGGGGTAGAGGAGCCGACCGGCCAGGGACCCCGCTCCCGACCACTCAGCCAACTGTCAGCCGGGTCCCCAGTCCTGGAGTTTGACAAGTGTCCGGAGAAGGGGGTCTGCCCCTGCTCCTGGGGACAGCCCTCCTATCCCACCCCCCTTTCTTTTCTCCCCGCAGATGTCCAGCAACCGCCCGGTGGAAATTGTTGAAGATCCCCGGGTCGTTGGGATCTGGACCAAAAACAAGGAGCTGGAGCTGTCGGTGCCCAAATTCAAAGTAGGACCCCTCCCCCCTGCCCCGCGGTCTTGGCCTCCCCCCCCCACCCCGAGTTCGAAAATAACGCCAGTCCTGACCGAGCCCAGCCAGAGTTCCCGCCGTCCGGAGCTGGGGAAGTTTTGGCGGGGAGGGGGATAGTGCTACGGAGAGGGGTGTCCCCTCTCCACTAATGTAAACAAAATAACACTTGGTGAAACTGTAATCAAGGCACTGATACAGTGTCCCGCCCGCTCAGCTGGGGGCTCAGAGTCTCCACCTGGTTCTTGCCCGCCCAGGAACTCGGCCCGGGACCCACCCCTCTTCCCAGCCTAGTGGATTTAGGGGGATGACTTCCTAGCCCAAGGGGTCTCCCCTGACCCAGCGGCAGGAAGAGGAGGCCAGAATGGGGGGTGGGGAAAGAGAAACTGTTTCTTTTTCCCCTTTTCTTCCGAACCCAGAGGACTTCCACGTTCCAAACGATTTAATCCTCCGCTTCCCGGGCCCGCCCGCGTGCATTTTTCTCACCCCATTTTTAAAAAAAATTTTTTACCCTTCATTGTTTTCAACGGACAGGCGAGTGGGGAATACTGTTTTCCCTTCAGTTTCAATGTTCTCCAAATTCCCTTCCCCCTCGGCTCCTGCCAGATCGATGAGTTCTACGTGGGCCCGGTGCCTCCGAAGCAGGTGACATTTGCCAAGCTGAATGATAACATCCGCGAAAACTTCCTGAGGGACATGTGCAAGAAGTATGGGGAGGTGGAGGAGGTGGAGATTTTGTACAACCCTAAGACCAAGAAGCACCTGGGCATTGCCAAGGTGGTCTTTGCCACGGTCAGGGGAGCGAAGGAGGCCGTTCAGCACTTGCATAGCACTTCGGTGATGGGCAACATTATCCACGTGGAGCTGGACACCAAAGGTGAGTGGAGGCTGGGCCATGCGACCCACGGGGGAGGAGCCACAGGGAGATTTGTTAACCTTACCATTTTCTCTTCTAGCGTCCCATCTTGTCCCTCTGGGAGGCCCCCATTTCCTTGGGATCCCCCACAAACTTTTTTCTTACCCCCTCCTGAGGGTAGAGTCACATGGAACTAAATGTGTTGTCTGTTGCTAGGAGACAGGTATAATTTACCAAATGTGCTTGGTCCTTGGCTACCGCACCCCTAGGGACCCTCTGGAGGCTTCCACACTGCTGACACACCTCAGGGCCCCTCTCGGAACCCTGGTGGCCTAGGTTAGATAGTCTTGGTATTGTGTCTGTGTGTGTGAGGGGGAGTTTGTTTATTTGTGGGGAGCTGAATGAGAGCTACGAGGATGTCTTTAAATACATAAAAGAGATGTTTCCTCAACTAAGAAGACTCCTCTAAGGATCCAGGGTATCCACCTCCCGCCCAGCCCCTTCTCCCTGGAAGTGGGAGCCAATCTGGGGCTCAGAGTGTTGTTTCATTGATAATGTTGCTGATAGAGCGGCCAGAGCAGGGCGGGCTGCTCTGGGTGCTTGAGGGTTGACACTGTGTCTTCCCTCCTCTCTCTTAAAGAGACCGCAGCATCTCCCCTGCTCGGGAATCCCGCTGGGTGCTGGCTCTGAGCTGGCCTCAGGGCAAGCCTGCTGGGGAGGCCACACCTCCCACCCTTTGGTTCTGTAGCAGGTCTCCTCCCCATACTGGCAGGAGGGGCTTGTAGGATTCTAGGTATCCTCTAGAGTTTGCCTGTGACCTCTCTAGCGATGTTTCTACCAATTTAAAAGAAGGTGCCTACTGTTCTGAGGACCAGCTAGCCCTGTGGCAGACACTCTTGGGTCCACAGCCTACTGGGGTTTCTTAGGAAACTGTGCCTGAGAAGGCTTAAATGTAGCTTCCAGGGGTCTTGTGAGAACAGGGTTTCGGGACAATCAGTGCCCATCAAACCCACAGGAAAATATAGACTTTTTTTTTTTTTTTTTTGCTTTTAATGATTAGAATGAATTGATTGCATGGTCCTGGGTGAGCACCTGTACCCCACAAAAACTTGCCAAGCCTGTATCTAGTTCTGTATCTCCCCCAGTTTCTCGGTCAGGGGGTACTGGAAGGACCCTTTTGAATTTTCATGCCGCCTTGGGTGACTGGAGCCTGATTTCCTCCTGAGAATTGAACACGAGCCCCCTCCCCCATCACATACCCACATCTTAAGGAGCAGCCATGTCTCACCAAAATTTCATTTCTGCAAAAACCAAAAAACCAAAACTCAAACCCAAAAGCCCTCAGAGACTGCTAGCTAAGTTTGTATTTCAAGAAAGAGACCAGTAAAGTGTAAAATGTAGCTCCAGGAATGGTCTCCTTTGCATATGTAAGCAGCTGCCTCTGAAGTTCTATAAATATGATATCTGGGCCCTGGTCTGTGAGTGCATCTCTCTGCTAGGGGTGGCAGCTCCAGTAAAGGGCTCCAGGCAGTCCCCAGGCAACTTAGGGCCCCCAACCTAGTTAGGAGCTTGATCAAGTAGGAGCATGTGGAGTTCACAGAAATGTGCTACTAGAGTGTATCTTTGCAAACTCTGCTGTACCTTGGCCTGGCACCTCTGTGTCAGTTCCCAAGACTTTCCTGCCTCTTGCTACAAGCCCCTGGCTGTGGAGTTGAAGAGTGAAGAGATGAGGGAGATCTGACTCTTGGAGCACCACAGCCCAGGCAACGGGAAGGGGCTTTGTGTTTGGGGGATTAAATTTTGAATTCCAAGATCAGAAAAATGATCCAGTTTAGCAGTTTTGTCAAGCAGATGGGGATTCTGAACGAGGTCCTAAGGGAGGTGGGAATTCAGGGTCACACAGCATTGCCAGGCCTGGTGTCTTAGGCACAAGAAGCCCATGGAGATGCCAAGCAGGTTGGAATCCCTGTGGGTACTGCCCTGTCTTGGACCCTCACTGATTACCCTTTCCCTGCCCGCCCATAGGGGAAACCCGCATGCGGTTCTATGAACTGTTGGTCACAGGCCGATACACCCCTCAGACTCTCCCAGTAGGCGAGCTGGATGCCATCTCTCCAATTGTGAACGAGACTCTGCAGGTGGGTTTACTGCTGTCACTCTCCCCATCACCAGCTCTCTGATGTGCCCTATTACCACCTCTGAAAAGCCTCACCAACTCTGCTGAGACCCCATCTGGCCCCCCAACCTCTCCATCTCTAGCCTTGGAAACCAAGGCCTGCGGGAGTGAAGTCTGGCCACACCCACAGCAGAGCAGTGTCCCAAAGCCCTTTGTCCCTGAACTTTCTTTGGTGTGGCCCTGCTGGGGGTCGGTCCTATTCCTAGTGGCCTCTAGCCTCCACATACCCCCCTCCCTGTAGCCCTCCAGGCTAAGATTCTCATAGACACTGAGCCTGCTTGCCACATTGATGACAAACATTACTGTGTCTAGAGTCCTTAGTGTCTGGTGTCCTGGACACCCCTCTACCCTTGTTCTTAGAAAACAGTTCAGCCCCCCACCCCCCTTCCAGAGCAAGACTGAATCCTTCCCAGGACACTCACCTGGACAGCTCTTTCACAAGGGAGAGTGTCAGCCCAACTCCTCCACATCTACCAGCCAGGCCACCAGTAGGAATGAGGAATCTGCTTACTTGCTGGTCAGCTGGGTTGTTCACGAGGCAGTTTTCCTATGTCATACTACTTAAATCCCAAAACTGGGAGGCTGGGGAAAACAGAGCTCTTGGCCACCCTCGAACTCCCAAGACCAGAGTTCTTGGTCATATGCTTGCCTGGAAGGTCTTTGATTTCTGACAGCCTGAGGCAAGAAGGAAATCTCAGCCTAAACCAAAATGTCTGGGTCATCTTTGTTCTCTGCCTCTCTCTGCCATCTCAAGATTCCCAGAGGATAAATGGCTATCCTTGTTAAAGTTAGGACCATCCTGACACTTTCCTTAATGTCCTCCACATCCATTCCTCATGTCATAGTTATAGAGCAGTCTGCACTCCTCAGCAGCCAGCATGAGAATGGAAAACAGCCCTGTTCTGTTGTACTCCACCCTCCCACCCCCTCCGTGGTCTCAACATCTTTGTCTTGTCTCTTTCTCCCTGTAGCTGTCAGATGCCCTGAAACGCCTCAAGGATGGTGGTCTGTCTGCAGGCTGTGGCTCTGGCTCCTCCTCTGTCACGCCCAATAGTGGTGGGACACCCTTCTCCCAGGACACTGCTTATTCCAGCTGCCGTCTGGACACACCCAACTCCTATGGACAGGGCACCCCACTCACGCCACGCCTAGGCACCCCCTTCTCACAGGACTCTAGCTACTCCAGCCGCCAGCCCACACCCTCCTACCTCTTCAGCCAGGACCCCACAGCAACTTTCAAGACCCGACGGCATGAAAGCAAGTTCACGGATGCCTACAACCGTCGCCATGAACATCATTATGTCCACAATTCTCCGGCAGTCACTGCAGTGGCTGGGGCCACGGCTGCCTTCCGGGGCTCCACAGACCTCCCCTTTGGGGCAGTCAGCAGCAGTGGGGGCAGCAGTGGCCCTCCCTTCAAAGCCCAACCACAGGATCCGGCCACGTTTGCCCACACTCCACCACCTGTGCAAGCTACCCCCACGCCTGGGTTCAAGTCGGCTTTCTCTCCATATCAGACCCCAGCGCCCCCCTTTGCCCTGCCTCCCGAGGAGCCCACTGCCACAGCCACCTTTGGGACCCGTGACAGTGGGGAGTTCCGGAGGGCACCTGCACCCCCACCCCTGCCGCCTACTGAGCCTCTGGCCAAGGAGAAGCCAGGCACACCACCTGGCCCACCACCCCCTGACACCAACAGCATGGAGCTGGGTGGCCGGCCAACCTTTGGCTGGAGTCCTGAACCCTGTGACAGCCCAGGCACACCCACACTGGAGTCGTCACCTGCAGGGCCAGAGAAGCCCCACGACAGCCTGGACTCTCGCATTGAGATGCTGCTGAAGGAGCAGCGCACCAAGCTGCCCTTCCTACGAGAGCAGGACTCGGACACTGAGCTGCAGATGGAGGGCAGCCCCATCTCCTCCTCTTCCTCCCAGCTTTCCCCACTGGCCCCCTTTGGCACCAACTCCCAGCTGGGTTTCAGAGGCCCCTCACCCCCGTCCTCGCGCCACTCCAGCACTGGCCTGGAGGACATCAGCCCTACACCACTGCCTGACTCCGATGAGGATGATGAGCTTGACCTGGGCCTCGGGCCTCGGCCTCCACCTGAGCCAGGCCCTCCGGACCCTACTGGTTTTCTGGGCCAGACCGCTGAAGTGGCCTTGGACCTATCCGGAGACAGGACCCCAATCTCAGAGAAGATGGATGAGGTACCACCATTTCTGCCCATCTGTCTGGGACTGGTTTTGTCTGTCTTGTGTCCCTCTCTTTCTTTCTCCCTAGAAACATTTAAAATAACTAGCTAAGACACAGAAGCAACAGGGCTTAGGGAAGCCAATATAACAGACTGTACTTAGAGAATAAAAAGAGAATGCAAAAAGCACCAGGGGCTGTGATTGAGCAGCTGCTTTGACTCTGAGCTCCCTAGCAGCCGTGGAGAGGAGAAAAATATGGCCTGGTTTTGGTGCTCTCATTGTTAGGAAAGGAGAGTCAAGATTTTTAAAGTCTTGGGGATAAATTCTGGCTTGAGCTTTTTTTGATAGGAGTTTGCTGAGACCCCAGAGAGTATGGGCTGTGGTGATGGTTCTAAGCCCTCTTCTCTGTTGGGTGACTTGGGAATGAACAGGGCTGGTCCTGATGCTCAGGCAGTTGGGCTGGAGTACTGGGCTGGACAAGGCTAGGTGGGAGTGGTGGAGCATTGTCTCCTAGAGCCTGGTGCCCTCTGAAGAGATGGGAAATCGGGGCAGGTGGGGAGGGCATTGAAATTTCCCTTATCTGGCTGGTTCCAAGGTGAAGGACATAAAGCCTAGCTGGGGTCAAAGAGAAGGCGCTGACACATAGCCAGAAGCTGGCAAAGTTGACCATCCCCTACCCTCTCCTCACTTTATCGGGGTCTCATTGCCCAAATCTGCAGCCTCAAGAAGTCCCACCCAACAGTTAGGGTGTGGGTGCCAAGTGCCAGGTTCCTTCTAGAGGTGGTTAGGACATTTTCATTGGCTGTTCTCTACCCCCTTCCTGGTCCAGGTTCCTGCCTTGACCCTCCTGGAGGCCTCTTTAAAGCCCATGGGCCTGGCGGGCATGAGCATTCCAGGGACTTAGACAGAGCTCTGTGACCCTGTGGGTGGTGTCCCCTCCCTCCTGAGTTCTTTGATTAGGTCGGTTTGCTGCCTGAGGGAGGAACAGAAAGGAACTTGGCCTGGCTTGGAGGGGGCCGCAGGTGGCTGGGGCTCCAGGGGCCTCCAGGCAATTCTAGGGAAGTGGTTTCTGGCCTCAAGGGGTCCAGGCAGGGGGAGTTGACAGGTGTACAGAGGTGGGGGGGTTACCAACCCTGCCACTCTCCCTCCATCCCTGTCTGGGCTGCCTGGGTTTAGAAGGTGTTTTCCCTGGTCACCAGCTGGTCCATGGATGAATAGCTGGAGGCCATGGGCTCCCCCACAGTGGCACGAAAGGGGAGACTGAGGCCCTGAGAGCTAGAGTTGGGATAGCCTAGGGAGCCTTGGAGTATTGATGGCTCTCGGGCGCCACCTGCTGGCATCCTGGAGAGCAGCACGTGGGCTCTTCAAGGTGTGCTGTAGCCGAAGCTGAAGTTGAGGTGGGGGAGCTACACAGCCGGTCACGGGTCGGGGTAGAGGGTGAAGATTCCCTTCTTTACAAAAGCTGGCGGTTAAAAAGCTCTAGGCTTTAAGACTTGAGTCCCACTTCTGTCACTCATATGACCTTGGGGAAGGCACTTTCCCTTTCTCAGTCTCGATTTCGCCATCTGCCTAATGGGCGGTGAGAGCACCTGCCTCACGCAGCCTCAGCTTAAGTGAGACGATCCTCCGGAAGCTCCGGACACAGCCGGCAGTGCCAAGCGCTCAGAGCTCAGCACATTCCTGCTGCTCTGCACCCGGGCTGGGCGGGGGCGGGGCGTCGAGGCTGGAACGGAGTCTGGCCGCCCTGTGATTGGCTGGCGGCCGGCGCTTGGGTTAACCCTCTATGCTCCGTTGTCTTACTCAGTGGCTGCCCTGTTCAATGGCTCTGTCCTGGATGGAGCTCCTAGGGAGTTTTTTCTGAGTGTCTGCCAGATTCTCCTTGTGCCTCCCTCGTGTGTATGGGGACCCTGAGAAGGAGAGTATGTGTGTGTAGAAGTTCCAGTAAAATCTAGAACTTGGCTGCTGTTCCATCTTCCCTCTCCACCCCAATTTCCCTTGGAGGCTTCCCTCACGGGTAGGTCTGCCTTCTGACCTTGCACGCTGCACAGACCCCACCCCCTAAGCCTTCAAGCACAGTCTCTGTCTCTTGCAACTTACATAAGCTGTGTTTCGTCCTCAGAAGGTTCATCCAGGGCAAAGCCTGAGCCACCTTCTGTCTTGTCCTGACACAAAAGCCAGGGGTGATCCATTCCTCCCTGCCTTCCAGTTCTACCTCCACCCCTAGGAGTCCAGTTCCAGAGGTGTACATACAACTCCTCAAAGCCCCATCCCAAAGGGAATGGCCTGTTCCTTTAGAGGCTGTCCTGAGTCCTCTCTTGTTTACCCCAGACCACACCCCTAGATTCCAGCAATAACCCCTCCCCAGGCCCAGGTGCCAGCCCTCTTTCTGATTGGCTGTGCCACCAGGATAGTGGCAGAGGTTCTCTTGAATGTGTCTTCTCACCTGTCAAAAGGTCTCATGTTTATGCAGATAAGAAATGAGACAGCATGTGTCTGTGGCACTTAGCCCCAGACTGGCCCACACCAAGCATGTGGTCACAAGACAAGGTGGAGAGAATAATGAAGGAAAAAGAAAAAAACACACTTCCTATTTATGAGCCCTGAGTGCTGCTAAAGCTCCCCACCCCTGCTCCAATATCACCTCTGCCAGAGTCAGGATAGCAGGCTGACTGAGAACACAGGTAGCGGAGCCACTTACTGGTTTAAATCTGGCTCCATCTCTTACTGGTTTTGTGGCATTGGACAATTGTTTAAGCTATCTGTGTCCTGATTTTCTCATCAGTAAAAATGGAGATAATTATAGGGGCACTCTGAGGATTAACTAAGCTAATAGATGTAGAGTGTCTAGAAAGGCGCCAGCATGGAGGAAGCATCATAGAAGTGTTAACTGCATTATTTTCTCCAAATACAAATTGAAACAAAACCTCCTTCTGTTGGTGTTCCCTGTCCTCTTCCTTACCTTTTTTTTGTCTGGGATGTGCTGTATATTTCCCACCTTTATTCTGATTATGCTTTGCACCCTCCTACTAATTCAGCTCCACAGGCATAAGATTTTTGTCTATCTTTTTCACCTGTTTGTCTCCCCACCTAGAACAGTGCCTCTAGGAGCTACTTGGTCTCCCAGGCTCACCTGACTTCTCTCTCTCCACTATCTTTTTAGGGCCATCAGTCCTCGGGTGAGGACATGGAGATCTCCGATGATGAGATGCCCTCAGCCCCCATCACCAGCGCTGACTGCCCCAAGCCCATGGTGGTGACCCCAGGCTCGGCAGCTGTGGCAGCCCCTTCTGTGCTGGCCCCAACCCTGCCGCTGCCCCCACCACCTGGCTTCCCACCACTACCCCCCCCCACCCCCCACCCCCCCCCACCACTACCCCCACCCCCCCCCCCCACCACCACCCCCACCACCTCCAGCCCACCCCTCTGTGACAGTGCCCCCACCACCCCTGCCGGGACCACCAGGTGTCCCACCTCCACCCATCCTGCCACCGTTACCTCCCTTCCCGCCAGGGCTATTTCCCGTAATGCAGGTAGACATGAGCCATGTGCTGGGTGGCCAGTGGGGCAGCATGCCCATGTCCTTCCAGATGCAAACACAGATGCTGAGCCGTCTGATGACAGGCCAGGGCGCTTGCCCTTACCCACCCTTCATGGCTGCTGCTGCTGCTGCTGCCTCAGCAGGGCTTCAGTTTGTTAACCTGCCACCCTACCGGGGTCCCTTTTCCCTGAATAATAGTGGTCCAGGCCGCGGGCAGCACTGGCCACCCCTGCCCAAGTTTGACCCATCAGTACCACCACCAGGATATATGCCCCGTCAGGAGGACCCACACAAGGCCACAGTGGATGGTGTCCTGCTGGTGGTACTCAAAGAGCTCAAGGCCATCATGAAGCGTGACCTGAACCGCAAGATGGTAGAAGTGGTGGCCTTCCGGGCCTTTGACGAGTGGTGGGACAAGAAGGAGCGGATGGCCAAGGTGGGTGGGTGGGTGCAGGCCACTCCAGGATGGCTGGTGGGGTTGGGGCGGGGCCCCAGCCAGACCCCTCCTCTCTTCCCAGGACATGTCATTGGAAGACCCCTCCATGTAGGAGCTGTAGTGCCTGTGGCCACTTTTAAGGTTCTGCCGACTGTGTTCTCTGATCAGCAGCCACTAGCTGCATGTGGCTCTTTAAATTTTAAAATTTAAAATGGAAAAAATCACAAATTTAGTTCCTCATTGGTATGTGCCACGGTCGAAGTGCTGGTGGTGACCATACAGAATAACACAGCTGCAGAAAGTGTCTGCCATGGCAAGTAGTGCCACACCAAGGGGCTCTTCAAAGTTGGCCTACCTCACTTTCCCTTGTACCTCCTTTAACAGAGTCCTGTCTTGACCACTCTTTTGCTTTTTGATATATTATGGTCTATTTATAACTTACAAATAGTCTGTGAGGTTATAGATGCCTTTTCTTTACAGATGAGAGAAATTTGTCTTGACTATTTTAAACTCCCTCAGTCACTATCCTCTATCCCAGCCCTCTGTGTTCCCCCTCCCTCGGAGGTGACTGTGGTTATCAGTTTTGCTATCCCCTCCCCCGTCAAAGCATGCTTTGGGAAATGATGCCAAGACATAAGAGCTTGCTCTCTGCAGCACAGGTAAGCAACACCTGTCAGAGCCTATTTCTCACCTGTACAAGAGGGCAGTAAAACCAAAATGAACCAAAATCAGTGATGCACAGCTCTATGTGGCTCAGCCTAATCTCATTGACCGTGCCAGATTAGTAATGGTAGTAGCTGACTGCTATTCCATTAATAATGCTAATAAAAAGAGCCACTAGGCCCCAAGTGTTGTGCTCTTAATGGAGCTATTTTTGGTCAATTTTCACAGTGTCCCTTTGAAGGCACAGCATTCCAGAACTGTAAGGTCTGAAGCCTACCGGGTAACAGCATAGCATGGACAGGAGTGCGGACAGTGAACGCATAGTTACCTTAGCAGCTGCTATCACTGAGAGGAAGACAGGTTGCTCAGGGGCAGCTTCCTGAAGGATTAGTGGCAGTGCTATAACTGTGGTCACTTTCCCCCCTTCTCTCCATCCAGGCTTCGCTGACCCCTGTGAAGTCAGGCGAGCACAAGGATGAGGACAGGCCAAAGCCCAAGGACCGAATTGCCTCATGCCTTTTGGAATCATGGGGCAAAGGTGAGGGCCTGGGCTATGAGGGCCTAGGTCTGGGCATTGGGCTGCGTGGGGCCATTCGCCTGCCCTCCTTCAAGGTCAAGAGGAAAGAGCCACCTGACACAGCCTCATCTGGTGACCAGAAGCGGCTGAGGCCTTCAACCTCCGTGGATGAGGAAGATGAAGGTCTGTCTATGCCCTTCCCCCCCTACCTTGGTCTACTCACTGGGTGCGGGTCTCCTTCTGCCCCATCTCCCCAGCCCAGCTTTGCATGCCTCCTTCCTTCACAGAGTCAGAGCGGGAGCGGGACCGGGATGTGGCAGATGCCCCCTGCGAGCTGGCCAAACGGGACCCCAAAGGTGTGGGAGTGCGGCGACGACCAGCACGGCCCCTGGAGCTGGACAGTGGTGGGGAGGAGGACGAAAAAGAATCCTTGTCAGTATCCTCGTCCTCATCAGCGTCTTCCTCATCGGGGTCCTCCACCACCTCACCCTCATCCTCGACCTCTGACAAGGAGGAGGAGCGGGAAAGCACAGAGGAGGAAGAGGAGGAGGAAGCTGAAGAAGAAGAGGAAGAGGAGGAAGACGGCCCCAGGAGCCAAGTCTCCTCCTCCTCAACCTCATCCACATCAGATAAGGTATTCAAAGTGCTGGGGAGGTCTCAGGGTGTGGGTTTGAGTGAGAGGACCACATTGTTAGGCTCACTGTCCTCCCATCGCTGTCACCAGGATGAAGATGATGAGGACAGTGATAACCAGGATGAGTCTGAGAATGATGATGAAGACACAGCCCTGTCAGAAGCGAGTGAAAAGGAAGATGGGGACTCAGATGGAGGTGAGTGGGAGGCTGTGGCAGCCAGACCTGGTTAGGGCTCTGTGTTTACAATAGGGCAAAGCCTGAGCAATTGTCAGAAATACTTTTCAGGATAGCCAGGTGCAGTGGCTTGCATCTGTAATCCTAGCCCTCTGGGAGGCCGAGGCAGGAGGAAGAGTGAGACCCCATCTCTACTAAAAATAGAAGAATTACTCAGGTGTGGTGGTAGCCACCTGTAGTCTCAGCTACTTAGGAGCCTGAAGCAGGAGGATCGCTCAAGCCTAGGAGTGGAGTTTGAGGTTGCTGTGAGCTGTGATGTTACAGCACTCTAGCCCAGGCAATAGAGAGACTCTGTCTCAAAAAAAAAAAAAAAAAAAAAAGGAAGAAAGAAATACTTTTAGGGCAAAATTTTGTGCTTTTTAAGATTTTTTTGTTTTCTTTACTCACTACTATATTAACAAGGATGCTTTCGAGATGTTAACTTGTTAAAACACACACACGAGGCTCGGCTCCTATAGCTCAACTGGCTAAGGCGCCAGCCATATACACCTAAGGTGGCAGGTTCGAATCCCCAGCCTGGACCCGCCAAACAACAATGACAGCTGCAACCAAAAAATAGCCAGGCGTTGTGGCAGGCGCCTGTGGTCCCAGCTACTTGGGAGGCGGAGGCAGGAGACTCGCTTGAGCCCAGGAGTTGGAGGTTGCTGTGAGCTGTAATGCCACGGCACGCTACCCAGGGGGACAGCTTGAGGCTCTGTCTCAAAAAAAACAAAACAAACAAAAAAAAAACACACACACGAAATATTATATAATTCCATTTCTGTGAACTATCTAGAAGGGATACATCCAGAGAAAAAAGAGCTGTAACCCAGGCTAGAGGGCAATAGTCTAGTGATAGCCTACTGTAGCCTTGAACTTCTGGCCTTAGCCCCCCAAGTAGCTCAATTACTAGCATGTCACCATGCCCAGCTAATTTTTTCATTTTTTGTAGAAACAAGTGTCTCTGTGTTGCTCAGGCTAGTGTCAAACTCCTGGCCTTAAGTGATCTTCACACTCTGGCCTCCCAAAGTGCTGGGATTAGAGGCATGAGCCACTGCGCCTGGCCAAGACAGAATGTAGATCAGTGGTTCCTCAGGGCTAAGGGGAGGGTAGGTTAAAAAGGGTTCAATGAAGGACATGTGGTTTCCTTTTGAGCTGATGAAAATATTTTGGAACTAAGTAAAGGTAGTGGTTGTATAACATGATAGATGTTACTAAATGCCACTGGAATTATTTACTTCAAAATGAACAATTAATTTTATGTTATGTGAATTTTACCTCTTCTAAAGAAACAAGGATGACTAGTTAGCATGCTCCCCCTCCCCACACACACACATCTGAAGGCTGTGTTCAGCTGAGGTGCTGCCAGTTCTGGGCCTCTAGTGAGGCTCCTGTAATAATACGGTGCTTCCTCATGTGTCTTGCCACCCAGAGACTGTGAGCATTGCAACCTGCAAGGCTGAAGCTGCATCCTCTAGCGAGAGTTCTGAGTCTTCCGAGTTTGAATCAAGCTCTGAGTCCTCCTCTGAGTCCTCAGAGGATGAAGAGGAGGTGGTGGCAAGGGAGGAGGAGGAGGAAGAGGAGGAAGAGGAGGAGGCTATGGTGATGGCTAATGAGAGTGCAGCTCCTGCAGCCCCTGAGGACTTTGAGGAGGATGGGAAGGAAACATCTCTGGCCCCAGTGGTACCTCCCAGGATGGACTCGCTGGGCATGGAACAGGAGTTGGACATTGAGGCTGAGGCCCCCAAGGAGCTGACCCCCACGCTGGAGGAGCACCCCTTGCCTGTGGATGTTGAAGAGCCTGCAGGCTGCAAGGAGCCCCCTGAGGAGCCAGGCCTGAACCAGGAAGGGGCTGTGATGTTGTCCCCAGAGCCCCCTGCCAGGGAGGTGGAGGCCCGGCCCCCATCACCCTCTGAGCAAGCTCCAGGTAACACCTGCAGCCCCCTGGGAGGGTGAGGGGAAGGAGGCAGGATGTCCTCACCTTCTGAATCAGTCTGGCTCCCTGGGGTTAATTTCCTGAGCTCAGTTTTTTCTGTAAAACCGATCAACGAGAGTGCCTCCCTCTTGGGGTCATTTGCGGGGATAGAGTGATGTGATGTATAGTGTGCTGGCCTTGAGCCTAGCACGTGGTAGGCAAACCCAAAAGGGAACTGTTGCTTTTGTCATTCATCGGTACCAATATTTCCCCCCATGGTTTGGTCGTTAGACCGGTCAGTCCTATGAGATGCTTCCACAAAGGGGGCTTGGTATCCAAGGTGACTTTAGTGATGGGCCGGTGGGGGAGATCTTGGGGCACTGAGCCAGGTGTGAGAGTATGGGCGTTACACAAACCTATGATGATGGAGCTTCACAGGGCATAGAAAGGCTCCAATAGGCTCAGTGCCTGTAGCTTAGCGATTAGGGCACCAGCCATATACACTGAGGCAGGCAGGTTCGAACCCAGCCTGGGCCAGTTAAACAACAATGACAACTGCAACAACACCAAAAATTGCCAGGCATCTGCAGTCCCAGCTACTTGGGAGGCTGATGCAAGGAAATCGCTTAAGCCCAAGAGTTTGAGGTTGCTGTGAGCTGTGACACCACGGCACTCTACCCAGGGCAACATAGTAAGACTCTGTGTCAAAAAAAAAAGAAAGAAGGACTCCAACAATACCATCCAGTAGAACTTTGCGGCATGATGAAAGTGTCTCCTGGCTGTGTTCTGCATGTGACTAAGCTCTTGTAGTGTGTGGCCAGTGACACTGTGGAACCAAATTTGTAATGCTTTTTAATTAATTTTAACTTAAAAAGTCACATGTGATTAGCACCTACCTTGAATAAGCCCTTCAGGAAAAAACAAAACCTGCAGGTCGACACTTGACCACCACTAGTTTTAACTGCAAGAGTCCACTTACATGTGGATTTTTTCCAACCAAATATAGATAAAAAATATTCGTGAGATGTGAAACCCATATAGAGGGCAGCCGCATATATGTGGGTTCTTTAGGGCCAACTAAAGGACTTGAGTGTGTGCAGATTTTCATATCAGCTTTTGAGTATTGACTTAGTATTAGGCCTCTTTTGTGTTCCCAGTATTATTTTAGGCACTAACAATAGAGCAATGGACCAAACGGACAAAATTATCTGCCCTTACAGACTTTATAGTTGAGTCACCCTGTCCTCAGCTATAAAGACAGATGACAACAAATTAGAAACTGCATTCTGTAACAACAAAGGTAAATTCTAGGAGAACAACCTTAAAGCTCTGGCAATGCCTGCAGAAAAGAGACTGGTTGAATTTTATTTCTTTACAGACCATTTCTTTTCTTGAGACATGGGAACTTTGTTCTGAACACAGTGTGAAAGGCTAGCAACCACATCTCTTGCTTTAGTCCAGCATCACTTATGAAGCACCTACTGTATGCCTGACACTGGGTAGGCTGCTGAGCAGTCCTCTAGTGGTTTAGCTGGAGATGGACAGTCCTGTTGGAGACCCAGAGAGTTGTGAGCTAGTCAGGTATCAGAGCATATAACAGGCACCTAGAGATGTTTAAACCAAATAGTAATGGTCTTGTTTTTGCCATTCTTTCTATAGAGGATGACCTGGAACCAGAGCCTGAGCCTCCTACAATGCTCCCGTTGCCACTACAGCCACCATTGCCACCCCCCCGGCCTCCCCGGCCACCTAGCCCACCGCCAGAGCCTGAGATCGTAGAGCCCCCTCACACATCCGTCCCTCTGGAACCTCCTGCTGAGGACCAGCCCCCACGTACTCCAGGCCTCTGTGGCAGCTTGGCCAAGTCCCAGAGCACAGAGACGGTGCCGGCCACGCCAGGTGGAGAGCCCCCACTATCGGGAGGCAGCAGTGGCCTGTCACTGAGCTCCCCACAGGTGCCTGGTAGCCCCTTCTCCTACCCTGCCCAGTCCCCTGGCTTCAGCAGCGGGGGCCTCCCACGGACACCTGGCCGGGACTTCAGCTTCACACCCACCTTCCCTGAGTCCGGCGGGCCCCTGCTGCTGCCTGTCTGCCCTCTCCCCGCTGGCCGGCGTGATGAGCGTGCGGGGCCCCTGGCCTCCCCGGTGCTCCTGGAAACGGGCCTGCCTCTCTCTCTCCCTCTCCCTCTGCCTCTGCCCCTGGCATTACCAGTGCCCGTCCTTCGGGCTCAGACTCGGGCCCCTACCCAGCTGCCACCCCTGCTGCCTGCCACCCTGGCCCCTTGCCCGCCCACCATGAAGAGGAAGCCGGGCCGGCCCCGGCGCTCCCCGCCCTCTGTGCTCTCCTTGGACGGGCCCTTGGTCCGGCCACCAGCAGGAGCTGCCCTTGGAAGGGACCTCCTGCTCCTGCCAGGCCAACCACAGGCCCCCGTCTTCCCCGGTACCCATGATCCACGGACAGTGACCCTGGACTTTCGGAACGCAGGAATTCCAGCACCCCCACCACCCCTTCCCCCCCAGCCACCCCCACCCCCACCTCCACCACCTGTGGAGCCCGCCAAACTGCCCTTCAAGGAGCTAGACAACCAGTGGCCCTCTGAGGCCATCCCACCAGGCCCCCGTGGGCGTGAGGAGATCACAGAGGAATACATGGAGCTGACCAAGGTGCGAGGGCCCTGGCGCCGGCCACCTAAAAAGCGCCATGAGGACTTGGTAGCAGCTTCAGCCTCCCCAGAGCTCTCACCCCCGCAGCCCTTCTTCCGACCCCGCTCAGAGTTTGAGGAGATGACCATCTTGTATGACATCTGGAATGGTGGCATTGATGAGGAGGATATTCGCTTTCTGTGTGTCACCTATGAGCGGCTACTGCAACAGGACAATGGCATGGACTGGCTCAATGACACACTCTGGGTCTATCATCCTTATATCCTGCTGGACATGGTGGGGGTCACATCTCTCTGGGCCCCATCTTTTCTGTGTATAGAGGTCCACAGTATTTCAGAAGGTGAAAGCACATGTCACTGTCACCTAGTACTTTTTGTGTGCCGGCACCATGCTAGGCTCTATAATGAGTCATCTCTGGCACTTTTCAATACTTCTATGTGCCAGGCCCATCTCACCCCCCAGAGTTAGCAGGTCTTGGCCAAACATAACAGCAGGATTGTATGACTTAACAGTAACAGAGACTGACTGAGGGTTCAGTTATCCTGAAGTCTTCATCACTTAATTTAATTCTTCCAACAGCCTAGTTAGGGTTAGGTTACAATAATTCTTATTTTATATGTGAAGACATTGAGGTTCTTAGAGGATAAATGACCTGCCCAAAGCCAAATGGCTACAAAGTAGCAGAGCTAAGATTCAAATCCAGGCACATCTGGCTCTAGAATCTGGACCCTTGACCATGCTGTCCTGATGATTGGTTACCATAACCCTATGAGGTTGAAGCTGTCATCATCCCTCAGGTATCAGAGTTAATTTACTGAGCCCTCTTCTGTCAGCAACTCTGCTAAGGACCCTAAGTATATTTAATCAATCATAGAGGCATCATTGTTGACCCAATTTACAGATGGGAAGCTGAGGCAGAAAGTGATTGAGAAACAAGGCCAGGCAGCTGGGTACTGCCTCCACATTTTGGGCTATGTGGAGGTTTGACAGAGATGAACTGAGAATAGGGAGGCTAGGCCTAGCAGGACAGGACTCCTGAGGGACCAGGAGGGGCTCTAAGAGAACATCTGTATGGCCCTTAACTCACACCCACCTACCAGCCTCTCTTCAGCTAAGAAAAAGAAGCGGGATGATGGCATCCGTGAGCATGTGACAGGTTGTGCGCGCAGCGAGGGCTTCTACACCATTGACAAGAAGGACAAGCTTAGATACCTCAACAGCAGCCGCGCCAGCACTGATGAGCCTCCTGCAGACACCCAGGTACTGCCATTGGAGGCCCAGACCCACCAGAGCCTCTGGGCTGGGTAGCGGGAGAGGATTACGCCTGGAGGCTAGGACACCCAACAGTGTGAGGGGCTGTGGAACTCGAGGGGGTGACAGAAGGTTACCCACCTGGATTTCCAGATTTGGGCGGTTAGCTGAGAGGTGGGCAGGGCCTTGGGGCCAAGAAAGTACTGGTCTTTGTCCTGTTGGCACCAGAGCACCTCCAAGGGGTTTTAATCGAGGATTAATAGTACATGGTATATAGCAGGTACTATATTTCCAGAAGATTCGGGGAATATTTTTTGAGTACCTGCTATATACCACATACTACTCTGGGCTACAGCAGTGAATAAAGCAGAATCCTTTTCCCCATAGGATTTCTATTTTAGTGGAGGTAGGAAAGAGGGAAGAGAACTGTAGGCATGTGATTCCAGGCTGAGAAAGCAGAAGAGGAGGTTAGGTGTCGGCAAGTTGAGGTCAGAGGTGGTCGTGTTTGAGCTAGACCTGAATAAAGCAAGGGAATGAGCTGCATGGATAGCAGGGAGAAACCACAGAGAAGTAGAAAAGGACTTCAATTAAAAGTTAAAACAGGAGAAGGATTGATCAAATCCAATAGATCACACACACACAGAGAATGGCATGTGCAAAGTCCCTGAGGCAGAGAGGACCTCAGCAGTGTGAAAGGAAAGGAAAAGGCCAGTTGTGGCCAGAGAGACAGAGGACAGGTCATCCAGGTCCTAAGGGCTGTGGTGATGAGGTTAGACCTATGTTCTGTGCATGGTGGCAAGCTGAGGCAGGGTTTTATGACAAAGTGACAAGAGTGACATGGATTAGTCTGTGGATTTTTAAAGCTCATACCAGCTGCTACGTAGAGCTGACTTTAGTGTCCAGGCCAGACATGAGGGTAGTTGGACTCGGGTGGGCTGTGAAGGTACATTCAAAAGAATATTAGGAAGTTGAATGGAAGGACTGGGGCCAGATTGGATACAAGAGACAAGGGAATTAGCAGGACAGCCCAGACACAGATCTGGATTGTGGGGACTGGGTATCTGGATGTCAAGCCCTGAGATGGGAAGGCAGATGGTGCCTTCACTGTGGAACAGCTCAAGTTAGGGTGTTTCTGGAACATCCAGGTAGAGAAAGTCTGGCAGGCAGTTAGACAAATGGGTACAGTAGATCTTGGGAGGGGGATTTCTAATCCAGGGACCTGAAATTTGGCATCATCACAATGGTGATGAAGGCCCTGGTGGGACAAACTCCCCACAAGGGAGCTCATGGTGGGCAGAGGCCTGGGAAGCTCCAGGGGTTAATGGGTGGTGCTGAGGGTGTTAAGTGAGGGTGTAGGAAGGATATGTTCTTTCAGATGCTTGGGGGATGTCAAGAGGGGCCTTGGTGAGAACCATGGGGTGGGCAGTCAGAACAGACACCTGCCATCCTTTAAAATGTTCAGCCAATATAAAGAAAAGATAGGAAAAGTCAGGGAAGCTGGTGTCATAGTCACTTTAAAGATGGGAAGAACTTGAGCGTGTTTAGCTATAGATGGGAAAGAGAAGACAGGGGAGCAGTGTCAATTAGGGACAGGTAGGTACAGAGAAGCCCATAGTGAAAAACCTAGGAATCCGTTGGGGATGACTGAGACCCAGAGCATAGGGTGGAGTTGCCAAGGGTGATGGGGCCCCAGGCTCTACTGAACCATGCACCCCATCCTCGGTTGTCCTTGCAGGGCATGAGCATCCCGGCCCAGCCCCATGCCTCCACTCGGGCTGGCTCAGAGCGGCGTTCAGAGCAGCGCCGCTTGCTGTCCTCCTTCACTGGCAGCTGTGACAGTGACCTGCTCAAGTTCAACCAGCTCAAGGTGAGGCCAGTCCCCACCCTGGAGCAGTGGGGGTGGCATTGGGACCTGAGACTGGGGCTCACCCCTCCTTTCCTTTCTACCTCTAGTTCCGGAAGAAAAAGCTCAAATTCTGCAAGAGCCACATTCACGACTGGGGCCTGTTTGCCATGGAGCCCATTGCAGCCGATGAGATGGTCATCGAATATGTGGGCCAGAACATCCGCCAGGTAGGAGCTGTCTAGAGGGATAGGCCCTGTGGTTGGGCTTTGGGCAGGCCAGCCCCAGACTGATACCCTTTTGTGGCCAGGTGATTGCGGACATGCGGGAGAAACGTTATGAGGATGAGGGCATCGGTAGCAGCTACATGTTCCGGGTGGACCATGACACCATCATTGACGCCACCAAGTGCGGCAACTTCGCTCGCTTCATTAACCACAGCTGCAATGTGAGTGCCCAGTAAGGGCTGTCCCTGCCCTACCTCTGTGCCAGGACTTAAACACCCCTGGTATGGGAATCAGCTTGGGTCAGCCAATGGTTACAGGGAGTGAGGGTAGGGAACATGGTGCCTCATCCGAGGAACCCTTTTTGGGGGCCAGGCACAGTGGCTCTTGCCTGTAATCCTAGCACTCTGGGAAGCCAAGGCCTGTGGATTGCCTGAGCTCAGGAGTTCGATGAGACCAGCCTAAGCAAGAGCAAGACCATCTCTAAAAATAGACTCGTGTTGTGGTGGGTACCTGTAGTCCCAGCTACTTGGGAGGCTGAGGCAGGAAGATTGCTTAAGCCCAAGAGTTTGAGGTTGCTGTGAACTATGACACCAATGCACTCTGTTGAGGGCAACAAAGTGAGACACTTGTCTCAAAAAAAAAAAAAAAAAAAGGCTCAGCACCCTTAGCTCACTGGTTAGGGTGCAGGCCACGTACACTGAAGTAGGTGGGTTCAAACCCAGGGCTGCTAAACAACAATGACAACTGCAACAAAAAAATAGCTGGGCATTGTGGCGGGCACCCATAGTCCCAGCTACATGGAAGGCTGAGGCAAGGGAATCTCTAAAGCCCAAGAGTTGAAGGTTATTTTGAGCTGGATACCATGGCACTTGACTGATGGCAACATAATGAGACTCTATCTCAAAAAAAAAAGAAAAAAAAAAGAAAGAAACTTTTCTTCTCTCAGCCTCAGTTTTTTCATTTATAAAATGGGCACTATGAGGCTTTCTCTTTTTTTCTTTTTTTGAGATAGAGTTTCACTCGGTCATCCTAAGTAGAGTGCTCTGGTGTCATCATAGCTCACAGCAACCTCAAACTCTTGGGCTCAGGTGAACCTCTTATCTCAGCCTCCCAAGTAGCTGAGACTACAGGCATGTGCCAGGACACCTGGCTAGTTTTTCTATTTTTAGTAGAGATGGGGTCTCACTCTTGATAAGGCTGATCTTGAACTCCTAAGATCAAGTGATCCACCTGCCTTGGCCTCCAGAATGGCATTATGAGGCTTTTGTTACCATGTAAAGGACTAATGGTACTCAGAAGTGGTTGGTTTAATTAATTGATAATTATGCAGTTCTTCTCTGTGCTGGGCATTTTTGTGTGCTTCCATTGGTCAGGCTCAGCCCTCCTAGGGCAAAGCTGTTCTGCAGAACCTTTTGTAGTGGGGGAAGTGCTCTACATCTGTGCTACCCAGTGACATAGATTAGCCTTACATGGTACTGAGCACTTGAAATATGGCCACTGCAACTTAGGAACTGAGTTTTCAATTGTGTTTAGTTTTAATTAATTTAAACATAAATAGATGATTCTGGCTAGTGACAACTGAGTGCCAAAAGGCAAGGGCAGGAAGCTTGAAGAAGGAGTCAGGGTGGATCCCCCTAACTTTGGGTTCAAGTCTTGGCATCACTACTTAACATGTTACTATAGCCACCTCAGTTTGCTCATCTGTAAAACAGGGACAGTAACAGTCCTTCCATGTAGGTGATTGGGAGGACCAAACAGGTTATTACTCGTGGGCCTTCTGGTGTACTGACAAAGCAAGTCTTGGACATGTGCTAGCTGGCGTGATTGTGACTTGTCTGGCCTGAAGGGGCCTGGTTGAGACTTTTTGTGACTATCCTGTGATATCTGAGGGATAAGAGGGAATGACCAGGTGAAATGAGCAGGGCAAGTGCAAAGGGCATGTTAAAGGCAGTGGAGACTGGCTCAGCACCCCAGCTCAGTGATTAAGGGTGCCGGCCACATGCACCAGGGCTGGTGGATTTGAACCCGGCCCTGGCCTGCTAAGCAACAACAACAATAACAGAAAACAGCCAGGCATTGTGGTAGGCGTCTGTAGTCCCAGCTACTTGGGAGGCTGAGGCAAGAGAATCGTTTAAGTCCAAGAGTTAGAGGTTGCTGTGAGCTATGACACTACAGCACTCTACCGAGGATGACATCGTGTAAGACTTTGTCTCAAAAAAAAAGGCAGTGGGGAGCAAACCTGGTTGAGAGACAGCAAGAGGGCATGGGTGAGAGTATAGGATAGGCAGGGTCAAGGGGTGATCAAGTCACTCAGCCTTGTTAGTTGAGGAACCAAGTTTCTCTAAAAGTTGAGGCAGGGCTCGGCACCTGTGGCTCAAGCCGCTAAGGCACCAGCCACATACACCTGAGCTGGCGGGTTCAAATCCAGCCCAGGCCTGCCAAACAACAATGACAGCTGCAACCAAAAAAAAAAAAAAAAAAAAAAAAATAGCGGGGCATTTTGGCAGGCACCTGTAGTCTCAGCTACTTGGGAGGTGGAGGCAGGAGAATCGCTTAAGCCCAGGAGTTGAAGGTTGCTGTAAAGCTGTGATGCCATAGTACTTTACCCAGGGCAACACTTGAGGCTCTGTCTCAAAAAAATAAAAATAAAATAAAAAGTAAAGGTTGAGGCAGGTTACTGGGAGGTGTGGAGCCATGGGGTGACCGGATCTGTTGTCCCTTTGGAAGGGTTTCCGTGGCTGCAAAATCAGGGGTCAGCAATGATGGAGGGCTGAGCACGGCTGGTGGCAGCTGAGGAAGGTAGAGGGCAGTGGGCAGAATCAAGAGGTCGTTAGGAGGTAGAGCCTTCCACATGTGGTGCACCAGATCAGGCACTGGTAAAGGCAATCACTGGGAGACGGGGTTGGGGACCTGGTACACAGTGTGGCCACTGCCCAGAGCAGAAGGAGATGTGAATTTAGGCTCAAAGATGTCTTCTGGAGCTGCCTCTGGCAGATAGCAGGTAAGACTTAGAGGTTTGGAGCAGGGGCCCGCAAAACTTTTCTGTAAAGGGCCAGGTAGTAAATATTTTTGGCTTTGTGGCCCAGATGATCTCTGTAGCAACTCTGTAATGTAGCCACCACCACCACTGTAACAAAATCAGCCACAGATGATATGCAAATGCATGGATGAGTGGGTGTGGCTGTGTGCCAATGAAACTATTTGCAAAAATAGGCAGCTGGGGGCCCACATTTGCTGATGCCTTGTCTAGAACTCAGAAGTGAGGCCTTGGCCAGGAATGTAAATTTGGGAGTCACTTGCACTATGAACGAAAATGGAAGCCCTGGAAAATGTTTATTGTCATCATTATTTAGTATCAGAGGCAAGGGGTCCTTGTCACCCAGGTTGGGGGGGCCCAAGGCCTAGAGTGGTGACCAGTAGGCAGGAGTTACATGGTACTAAGTCAGGTCTGGAGGACAGGCATGGTTGGGTTTGAGGGGGCTGTAGTGGTGGAACCTAGGTGGGCCTGGGTGGGTCAGGGGCTCACCTTCTCCTTCTACCTGCCTGCAGCCTAACTGCTATGCCAAGGTGATCACGGTGGAGTCACAGAAGAAGATTGTCATCTACTCGAAGCAGCACATCAATGTGAACGAGGAGATCACCTATGACTACAAGTTCCCCATTGAAGACGTCAAGATCCCCTGCCTCTGTGGCTCAGAGAACTGCCGGGGGACCCTCAACTAGGCCCCGATGCCAAAATCAATGGACGTCAGCTGCCGCCCGGGGCCCGGCCCCACCTCCCACCCCCATTTCAGGTGCTGTCCTCTGCCCAGCGGCCATGTCAGGGCCTGGCGCCCCCCAACACTACCCCCAGGACCCCCGCGGCTCCAACTCCCAGCGGGAAAGGGCTTCTCTGTCATTCAGCTCATGTCTCTTTCATTTTTTAAAAAGTGCTCCTTTCAGGATTTTTGTTTAACTCCAACGTTAAACTTCTCTCTGCCTCTCTGGCTCTCTCCTCCTGTCTCCATCTCTCTCTGCCTCTCTTCCTATCTCTTTTTTCATCTTTCTCTGTCTTTTTCTCTTTCCTCAGCCTCTTCCCGTAAATGCTGCTACATTGTTTTGTCCTCTCTTTATTTTCTTCCTCATCATAAAAAGACATTTTAACTGTTGAAATGTGAAGGCAAAGTCAGAAAGGGGACCCCGCTGGGGGCTGCAGAGGCCTCGGTGTGACTGTTCATTTTGGCCCATGTTCTTGGAACCTGCCCGGTTCAGGCACTGGGCCAGGTGCTGCAGAGAGGAGTGGAGGTGCTGGGCCACTGGCCTTGACCTTGGAACACTACATACCTGAAGGCCCCCCTCTCTGTCCGTGGATGCAGTGAGGAGACCCTACACCGCCCCATACCTGCCTCACAGCCTCTCCCTTCCCCAGCAGCCTGGGGGCACCATTTATCTGGGCAGATCCTGGTGGAGCCAATCTGGGCCCAAGCAGGAATTTCCAATCTGGGCCATCCCTGCCACCCCATACCCCTCCACCCCCCAAACCTTGGGTTCAATGTTTACTTTTTCATTCGGATGCCAGCAATGAGGGAGCCTCCCAGAGGCCCCAGTGTGGGAAGGGGACGCTGGGAAAGGTCACCCCTTTCTCTTCTGCCCTTGCCTTTACCGTGGGCACAAAGGAGGCTCCCAGGGCAGGCGGGTCCCCCAGTCCCACCATTACGGGTTGTCTGACTATCTGCATATGGCATTTGTTTGTTTATAAGTTTCACCCGCTCACCCCCAGCTCACAGCCCATCTCCTCCTGCCAGCAGCCCCTCACTGCAAGAAGACCAGAGCATATTTATTTTCAGAGTGAGCAGGATATTTCTCCCAGAGAAAGGAAAATCTTGGAAAAGATTTTAAAAATCAAATTGAAGTCTCGGACAGTTATTTTTTTTTTTCTTTTAACCCTTTTAGCAACTTCCCATTATCCGCTTCAGGGTTTATTTCCATGGATTTTTTTTCCTTGTGTGTGTGTGTAAAATCAAAGGGGGAAAACAGGTTTTTGAAGTTAAGAACCAACTTCTGTATATAGGCTGCCATAAAGGACTTTTTCTTGGGAACATTGTTTCTTGTAGAAACACGTGGGAAGACTTTTTTGCTCATTTCTTTGTACTTAAAAAAAAAAAAAAGACACAAAAGCACGTCCCCCTGAACCCTAGGAAGCAGAGCAGGCGTGTAAATAATTTCTGGAAAGTGACTGTTGTGACCAGGAGTCCTCACCAAGATGAGAGTGCTCCAGGCAGACGCAGGCGGCTGGAGCCTCTGGTATCTCAGCTTGTGTCAAGCTTGTTATCATGTAAATTCTGTACAAAGAATTGTTATTTTTCTCTTTTTTTGTCGTTGGTGGTTTTGTTGTGTTTTGTTTGTTTTCTTTTTTTAATTTCTTCACTCTAGGCCCTCTCTATTAAAGACTGTGCCCACTGATTTCAAGATTAACGAAATCGGTGGCATTAAGACATAGAGGGGGTACCTGGGCACAGCAGCGACCTTCTCTTCTGTTTGCAGTTTTCTGCCTAATTGTGCAACTGAGGAAATATTTATTTTTCATATGAGGAAACATGTAGTTTGTAGGGATGGCTGATTTAAGTTACTCGTGCAGCCCCCAAGGGGCTGTCTTTATCTGATCCCTCATCCCCCCATAAAAGTGGGGGGATGTGAGGAAAGCAGGGGAGCGGCCCAGGCTTATATCTCCCCTGGCCTCACCTTGCCCACCCCCAGTGCCCAGTTTTGACCTTGGCCAGCCTTTACCAAGGGTGAAGGACTGGACCTGCCCATTCCCTGGGACCCTCCCACCCTACCCCCAAATGGTTTGCATTAATCCAGAAATGTGTTGGCTCATTTTTCTTTCACCTCCTTCATTTTCATTGAACAGATCTCTGCTTTTGAAGAGTCTGGGATCTCTGCTACTTGTTTTTTTCCTTTTCTTTCCCGCCCCCCCCCAAAGAAGAAAACCAATAAATTTTAGGGATGTTTGTGCATATAGACTCTGTCATCTGTATGTAACTTGTTTTGAAGAGAAGTGTTTCTGTTGCGAGTGTGTCTTGCTGTAAATATTTGTTCATATTTTTGTGAATTCAATACTATGTACCATTGTATTATAGTAACTTTTATAAAGCAAACCATAAATATACTGACTTTTCTTACAGATACGCCGTCTCTCTTACTCTTCTCTCTCCCTCTTATTCTTTCTGTTGGGAGCACAGCCTGTTCACATGGAAGGTGGGCTGGTCAAGCTCAGGGGTAGCAAGTGTATGGGGTGAAGTAGTCCACTCAGAACATCAGTTCTGGGTTTTAGAGGGTTCTTTTTTTAAAAGACAGAGTCTCTGCCATCTGGAGACTGTACTGGAGTACAATGGCACAATCTTAGCTCATAGTAACCCTGAACTCCATCAATTCTTTCTCTTTGAAACAGTCTCACTGTCACCTGGGCTAGAGTGCAGCGTGGTATCATAGATCACAGTAACCTCAAACTTCTAGGCTCAAGCAATCCTTCTGCCTCAGCCTCCTGAGTAGCTGAGACTACAAGCACACACCACCACACACTGGCTAATTTTTCTGTTTTTTGTAAAGATAGTGTCTCACTATGTCGCTCAGGCTGATCTCGAACTCCTGTCCACAAGCAGTCTCCCTGCCTCAAGTTCCTAGGGTAATTCTTCTTAAACTCTGACCCTATAGGTAGATTCTATGAACTGGGCTAAAATTCTAGTCAGACTAGATCTTCCACAGTTTGCTTTCTTTTTACATTTTTTCCTAAAACCTTAGGTATCTAACATTCGTAATGGTCTGCAATTAAGGAAACAGGGCTCAAGTATCATATCCTATTACTATTGCTAGAACTTGGGAAAATGTTTCCTCAGGAATGTTTAACACTTAAGACAACTCTCTGGTCTGCATTTGAGCGGGAAGGGGCTGATAAAATAGTACAAGCTGAGAAGAATTAAATATATGCAGTGTCTGTAGCATTGTACAGGTGTTTTGCCCCAGTAGGTAGATGGATCTATATAGGAGTGATGAGGAGCCTGTGGTATCTCAGTAAAGGACAGATGTAATATGGGCCAGGTACAGCTGTAATCTCAACACTTTGATAGGCCAAGGCAGGAGGATCACTTGAGCACAGGAGCTCAAGACCAGCCTGAGCAACTTAGCGAGATTCTATCTCTACAGAAAAAAAAGACAAATGTTTTTAATTAACTGGATATGGTAGTGGGCACCTTTAGTCCCAGCTACTTGGGAGGCTGAGGCAGGATTGCTTGAGCCCAGGAGTTTGAAGTTGTGGTTTGAGCTATAATGGCACCAATTTGAAAGTATGCAGGCAAAATAAAATACATCTGTGAGCCAGATTTGACCTGTCAGCTACCAGTTTGCAACCTGCTGGGTTATAGAATTTCCTTTCTTTGTATAATTCACAGGAGAATAGAGGGAGGGTATTTTTGCACTGGTGTTACAGGTGTGAGCCACTGTGCCCTGGTGGATTGTTTTTCTTACCCTAAGACCTGTCTGCTCCTAGTTCTGAGTTGGCTTACCCTCAGGGAGGTGTCAAGCGTTGGAAGCAAAGACCCAATTTGTCCCCTACCTCTTCTGTGGTTTTGAGGAAAGAATTTCCTGTGGTTTTAGGACAAGCAGCTCCTCTCCCACCCTAAAGGAGGCCTGGGTGGAAGCAAGTGTCTGGGGATGGGGTGGGGTGGTGCAGTGGTGGCTGCTCTGCTGAGGGTGGAGGTGGAAAGTTGGGGGACTCAGATCTCTCTTGCCTGCTCTATCTCTCAGACCAAGAACCAAGGCACCATGTCTTGTGGTTGCTGAGCAAGGATGCTGCCCCTGAAGTCCCTTGGCTAGCACCGTTCCCACTCATGTTGGGAGGTTTGGGCTCTGAGTGGCAAAATTAAGGACAGCTCATCTTTAGAGATCATAAAGCAAGATGCTGCCAAGCTCCGTTCCCTTGCTGTTCTCTTTTCCTGGCATCCTATTTCCAGGATTTTCCCATGGCAGGCCCCCAAATGTCACCTCCTCAGAGGGGCCTTCCGTTGACAGAAATTAATTCCCCTGCCATCTTCACCTCCACACAATCCCATCACCTGCTTTATTGTCTTAGAGCATTTACCACTCTATGAGAAGGTGTTTCTGTCTTTCCCGGGAGTGTCAGTCCCGTGCCTCCTCTGGTTCCAGAATTCCCCCGACCGGCGGAATCCACTTAGCCAAGCGCTCACATCCTGCGCCAAAGGGTCAGGCGCCCCCAGTGCTCCAACCCTCAAGCAGACGCCCCCGCTGCGCCGGCGCCCTGGGCTCCCCCTAGCGGCGAAGGGACGCCATTGCTCCTCGTCGGCCACAAACACCACACACCGATTGTATTGGAGCAGAGTCCGCTTTACTCCTGAGGGCTGAAGCAGACAGTGTGGCCTGAGTTGAGGGAGCGTGACCAGAGGTGGGCGGAGCCTGGGCCCCGGAGCTGGCTAGAGGGCGGGACAAGTCCGGGGAGAGACTCTGAAGTGCTGGGCAGAGGATGAATGGGCGTGTTCCAGAACCGGGGGTGGGGTATCGATGAACCAAACGGGGTGGGCAGGGAGGTGTCAAGAGACCACCCCGTTGGGCTCCAAGTCGGTGAGATTGCCACGCAGATCTTGCTCCTCCTCGAAAGCCTTGAACAGTGAGTTGAAGTTGCCGGCTCCAAAACCCTGGAAAGGGAGAGAGGAAGTGAGCTAGGGACCCCGAAAGAGCGCTGTGCTACCTGCACTCGGGGGGCTCGCTAGGGACAGGCTGCACCTGGTGGTTGCGGCGTTGGATGACTTCCAGGAAGAGCGTGGGCCGGTCCTGCATAGGTTTGGTGAAGATCTGCAGGAGGTAGCCTTTCTCGTCGTAGTCCACCAGGATTTTCAGCTCCTAGGCAGTAGACAGGGCGCTCTGCTGAGGGAGGCTGACCCACCCTTCTAGCCTGGCATGGTGGGATCCTTAGAAAGTCCATAGAGAGGCTTGGCGCCTGTGGCTCAAGTGGCTAAGGCGCCAGTC